CTGACCTGCTGGACAGTCGGGAAGCTGGGTCTGACTCGGCTCGCTGATGCTTGGCACGGGTAATCAGTTGGATGGACTGACAGTTGGACGAATGGAAAAACGGGTGGATAGGGAGACGCCAGGATGGATGAATGAATGGCTGCGTGGGCGGGCGAGCGAACTGGGAAGGGGCGGGCCAGCAGGCCGCTCAATCACAGCCCAGGCTCAGCGCAGCCAGCTGAGCTCGCTCAGAACCGCTCGCCCCCCGGCCCACCCGGGGCGCGTAATTACGTGGCCCTAGGGCTCTGAAGCGGCTCCCTGTGCTGAAGGGAACAGTGGCCGCACCGCCGCCTGCGGGCTTCACGCACCAGTCCTTTTTGCACGCAGGCCAGCAGCCCCTTTGCTGCGGTCCGGCACCAAGGCCTCCAGACCCTCTCTTTGTCTCCGCCTGGCCCACGGCTGTTTCTGGGTCAAGACCCGCCTCTCGGAGTATCTCTCGCCGCGCGCTTCTGGGTTGGTCCAGGATCCTCGAATATCGGTCCCGATGCCCACTCCTGCCCACAGCCATCCCCCCTAGCCAGGCAGGGTCTCCTCAAACACCATGCCTCTAGGACCGCGGGTCCAGCAAGTGGCAGGATCTCCAAGCTGCGTCTCTGGTGCGGCGGTGAAGGGAGGCATGGGATGAAGGGCCCCTTCTCTGCCTTTTCCATCCCCATTCCTGCACCCAACGCGTCACTGTGTGGCCCGATCAGAGCGCTGCCTGTTCGCACCTTAAACGTCTCCCGAGCCGCGGTGCGACCCCGGCGCCATCAGGGCTAGCCACCGCCCGCCGGGCCTTCGCCCTGCACGCAGAACGCAGCCGCCGGCTGCCACAGACCACTGCCTCTGCCCAGCGCACGATCCTACACAGACGCGCTGGTCTTCCATGAGCAGGACCCCCATCCCAGAGCAACCGCTAATCCACTCGCAAACAAGTCCGCACGGGCACACAACCCCCACTGAATGCTCAGCCCCCACACAGGCACGATCCCCTGTACACACACACACACACACACACACACACACACACAGGCTCAGTCCCACCCACGCAGTCACACTACCCCCTATAAACAATCGCACACAAACACACCACCCCACGCAGGCACCGCGTCACTCAGTCCCGCCGAGACCCAAAAGCACATTCACAAGCTCGTATCCAGACACCCCCCCCACCAGCCCCGTGACATTCACACGTAAGGCAGGCCAGAAATATACAGCCACATTGATATACACACGGACCTAAACACACAGCCGAAAGCTCACCCCGCGGGCTCATAAGTCACTTGAAAAATATTAGAGCATCCTCACCTTTCCCTTCTGTTTTTGACGCGCGCACACACACACTCACCACCACCACCCCACCCGTCCCAAAGCGCCTCGGAGCCTTGAAGCCGGTGACCCCGAGCCCCAGCGGTGAGAGCCTCGGAAGCGTC